AGAGCCCCTGCCGCCGCTAACACACCAGCAGCACGATGCCGCCGCGAGGCTCAGCTCCAGGTGACATATTCACTATTTTCATAACAAAGGAAATAAAACTTAAAATGTTGACTTAAACTGTAGTTATCCATACTCAATAGCAATTTCCTTTTATTTAGCCTTCACATAAAAACTACACACTATTACAAATTTACTTGTGGGTGAAAGAACTATATAGATATAATAAGTTTGGTTGATCTCAGTTTGATGTGGAGCTATGTGGAAACGTATTGTGTTGCAGACTACCGGAGTTCCGCCGTCTGCTGGAGAAGGCGGGCGAACTGCCAGAGTTGTCGGCGTGGCTGGCGCAGGCGGCGCCAGAGCAGTGCGTGCCCACACTATGGGACACGGAGCCCAGTGCGCCTCCCGCCCCCCACTCCCTCGCTATGTACCGCCTGCTACTCATACAGGTACATGTATACTCCGACATACAGTCTCACACAATCTCACATTGGTAATTTAGAAAGCACATTAAGTTAATTACATTAATAAAAATAAAAGATGTTTGAAATGTTCTGTGATGTTTATTTATTTATTTATTTATTTAAAAACTGCATAGCATCCTTACAGTTTACAACCAATTTGACACTATACACACTTTACATAACAGTTTACACGATAACTTATTTTATAATAACAGTAAATAAAAGAAAAAAAAATACATAGATAAACAGTGCAAGAATATATCAACGCGTTACTAAACATGTTTAGGCGTTCCGTCCGGACCGCGTGATAGCGGCAGCGACTCAGCTGGTGGGCGCGGTGCTGGGCGGCGGGTTCATGGCGCGTGCCGAGACCGAGTTAGAGCTGGCCGCCATCACCGACACGCAGCTCAACGCCACCACACCCGCGCTACTCTGCTCCGTGCCCGGATACGACGCTAGCGGTAACATTGCGTTATACACATTAAGAACTTACGATATCCGTGAAAAAGAGCGAAAAATGGACGTAGCCACGTAGTATTGCAGCGTGCTATACGTAGATTGTTACGTACCCTAGCCGTACTAAAAATATTAAAAGGTTAAATAATTATCAACTGGCTTCTTTGAACTTTTTGTTCATGATTATAGATCCAGGGAAAATTTATGTTACAAGTGTTGCGTTATGTGTAGGTCGTGTGGACGATATGGCGACCGAGCTGAACAAGCCTCTGTCGAGTATCGCTATCGGGTCCGCGGAGGGCTTCAACCAGGCCGAGCGCGCCATCAACACCGCATGCAAGACTGGACGGTTAGATTTATTACATATTTTATTTGTTATCAAGTGAATATGAAACAATAACAACTAATCTATATGTTTTGTTTCCAGTTGGGTAATGCTGAAGAACGTGCATCTAGCTCCAGTGTGGCTTGTACAACTGGAGAAGAAGTTGCACTCCCTGCAGCCGCATCCCAACTTCCGGCTGTTCCTCACCACGGAGATCAGTCCCAAGCTGCCAGTCAACCTGCTGCGCGCTGGCCGAGTGGTCGTTTTCGAACCTCCGCCCGGCATACGCGCCAACCTGCTCAGAACATTCGCCACTGTAAGCCGTTATATCTTTACATAATATTGTTACAACCACTTGACACAAAGGAGAAATGTCTCAAACTCGAGTATTATTTAATTTTAACGAGATGGTATTATTTTTTTAATCATTAATTAATTTGTTCTTTCTTTAATTACTGTCACTTTAACTTGGTTTTCCTTATTAGGTACCCGCAGCTCGTATGATGAAAGCTCCTTCAGAAAGAGCTCGCTTGTACTTCCTGTTAGCCTGGTTCCATGGTAAGATATTGTATTCAAAATGTCATATCCTGAAACAAGAAGCTGTAAATGTTAAACTATTTTATTGTTTTTTATTTGTTATTAAGTTTTATATCTGATTTTTGTATCGCGTGTGCAGGCATCGTGCAGGAACGTTTGCGCTACGTGCCGTTGGGTTGGGCCAAGTACTACGAATTCAACGAGTCGGACCTCCGCGTCGCCTGCGACACTCTCGACACATGGATAGACGCTACCGCTATGGTATGCATTTACGTTATAATTACTACCATAAATTTAATGCTGTAGATATCCTCAGGAAATTTTGGCCAAAACCAAACACACGTTAGTTGTGGAGATGCGGAAATATTATCGTTTCTATTTTACAAAAATGCTTTTTAAGTTTTTCTAAAGAGTTGTAGATGAAAAAAAAGTTTCTTTCCTGAGTTTGTATGTATTTTTGATTAAATGGTAAATGAAAACTTTGTTAATCCAATTCATAAAACGTCCTTAGTTAAAAAATATATAATTGGTGACGTCTCCGCCACCTAGCGGAGTACGCGGAAACTAATATTATATGTTAACATATTTCAGGGTCGCACGAACCTGCCACCGGAGAAGGTGCCTTGGGAGGCTCTTGTGACGCTTCTGTCCCAATGCATCTACGGTGGGAAGATCGACAACCTGTTCGACCAGCGTCTTCTTCACTCATTCCTCTGCAAACTCTTCACGCCAAAGTCCTTCGAGGCGGACTTCGCGCTAGTTGCCAACGTCGATGGGGTACATGGCAATTTTAAATACCTTTCTAGTATAAGCAACATTTTATTAAGTAATATTTTTAAAGGACATTGTATTTGGGGTTTCATTAATTAAAATAACGTTTAATAGCACTGGATTTTTTTTATCAGTCATAGTGTTCTAGTTTAGACAACAAAACAAAAGAGGTCCTTATAGCTTTTTGAAATAAATATACTAATTATGCTTTAAATAATGTAGAAAAGTAGCAACGTAAGTAAAACCTTAAGAAAGTATTCAATATTGTCATTGTTTGTTCAGGCTACTGGCAACCAGCGTCACATCACGATGCCGGACGGCAACCGGCGTGACCACTTCCTCAAGTGGATCGAAGACCTCTCCGATAGACAAACGCCCTCGTGGCTTGGACTGCCCAACAATGCTGAGAAGGTAACCTCTCTATTACTGCTGATATCAGATTTTTTTAAGTGCTAACTAAACATACCCTTAGTATAGATTTCACTAATGTAGATCGACTAAGACTCTTTCATAGTATTAAGTATTGTTTGACGGTTTTTTGAGACATATCCCAGAAAAAATGCTATAAAAATTATTCGTGTATTAATAAATGAATTAAAAATCAGGTGTTGCTAACAACTCAAGGCAGCGACTTGGTCTCCAAGTTATTGAAGATGCAGCAACTGGAGGACGAGGAGGAGCTCGCTTACAACGCCGCGCAAGACGATCCTAGTAAGTTATAGCATCCAAAAATATATATAATATTTGGAGATAAAAGAATTTTGCCAAAAAAAATATTGAGAAGTTTTTTGAAAAAAATGATTTGTTGTGGCCATAAAGTAATAAATGAATGAATTCTACAGATGCTATAGTAGTTGTGGGCGACGGGCGGCCGGCGTGGATGAAGACCCTGCACCAGACAGCCACCGCTTGGCTACAACTTTTGCCAAAGGAACTGCCGGTAATTAGTATTATCATTGTATCTTAATACCATTTGTATCATTATATCATTTCTATATCAATACACATTTATGAAATGTAAGATTAAATATCGTCATTGGGTTGATAAATACCACAGAATTATAGTTTTAAATAAACCTAATAAGTGTCTTAATATAACAATATTATACCCGGTAACAATTATGACATTTAACAAATTTTACTTTAGGGCGACAGCATAAATTCGATACAAATAAATCTGACACAGAACTAGCAATTGTTTACGTATTGATGACGTCAACCCACGTATAATATGCGTGTTGTGTTGTGTAGACGTTGCGTCGCACGGTGGAGAACATCAAGGATCCGCTGTACCGGTTCTTCGAGCGCGAGGTGGCGGCCGGCGCGGCGCTGCTGCAGCAGGTGCTGCATGACCTGCGTGCCGTCATCTCCATCTGCCAGGTAATACACGACCACTCCTTGTCTGATGCTACCTTGAATATGTTCTGAATTTAGACGATATGTTTAAAGACAAATGATCATGCGGCCTATCGACATCCTCAATTGCAGATATGTTGCCTACTTTAAATCGATTGAGGAGACGTACAGAAATGGAATATTTCGCGTTTTTATGCCCTGTGTTTAGGCCAAACACAAGTATTTGGTTGTAATGGTTTAATAAGCGATAAATACAGAGTTGCAAA